GAATTACCCTGAAGAACAACAGAAGGACATGAAGATAGATTGCAAGACCTTCAAAATGCTGCTTCTCCAGTGACCAGAGTCTGGTCTCACCCAGGAGACCATGAACGGAATATTGCCAGGGTATAAACAGGGTTTCTTTCTCTGTCTTTTTGAAGGTTTTTATTTAATGAATACAATTTTCCATATGTACAGCTTTTAGGAATATAGTGTTTCTTCCTCCACATACCTGCCCTCCCACCAGCACTCTCATTCGACCTCCCACTCCCTCTCCTGTTCCATTTTCCATCAAGATTCATTTTTGGCCGCCACCACGGCTCACTAGGCTAATCCTCCGCCTGCAGCGCCGGCACCCCGGGTTCTAGTCCCGGTTGGGGTGCTGGGTTCTGTTCCGGTTGCTCCTCTTCCAGTACAGCTCTCTGCTGTGGCCCGAAAGGCAGCAGAGGATGGCCCAAGTCCTTGGGCCCTGCACCCACATGGGAGAGCAGAAGGAAGCACCTGGCTCCTGGCTTCAGATCGGTGCAATATACCGGCTGTAGCAGCCATTTGGGGGGTGCACCAATGGAAGGAAGACCTTTCTCTCTGTCTCTCTCTCTAACTCTGCCTGCCCCCCCAAAAAAGATTCATTTTTAATTGACTTTATATACAGAAGACCAACTCTTTACTAAGGAGAGATTTCAACTATTTGCATCCACACAGACACACAAAGTATAAAGTACAGTTTGAAGACAAGTTTTACCATTAATTCTCATAGTATAACTCATTAAGAACAGAGGTCCAGCATGGGGAGCAAGTGCATAGTGACTCCCGTTGTTGATTTAACAATTGAGACTCTTATTTATGACATTAGTAATCACCCAAGGCTCTTGACATGAGTTGCCAAGGCTATGGAAGCCTTTTGAGTTCACAGACTCCATCGGATTTTAGACAGGGCCATATGCAAATTGGACGTTCTCTCCTCCCTTCAGAGGAAAGTACATCCTTCTATGATGGCCCCTGCTTTCCACTGGGGTCTCACTCACAGAGATCCTTCATGCAGAACCATTTTTCCACAATATCTTGCTTTTCCATGCCTGAAATGCTCTCATGTGTTTTCAGTCAAGCCTTAGAGGCTGATTTTGAGGTCAGAGTGCTGTTTACAGTGTTTGTCATCCTATGAGTCTGCTGTGTGGACTGCTTCCCATGTTGGAGCTTTCTCTCCTTTGTAATTCTATGTGTTGTTATTATCAGGCACTTGGTCTTATTTATGTGATCCCTTTGACTGATGGTTCTATGTATATGATCAGTTCCATACTTAATATGATCACTTTGTCACATAAGATGGGATTAGTGCCACCCAGCTAAATGGGATTTAGAGTCCCGAGGCAAGTTTTTAGCTTCACAGGGTTTGTTTCAAACCCATATAGATGTCTCCTTTCACTTTCTGTGACCAGTAACTAGAAGGTAGAGCATAAATGATGTTTTGAGTCATTTCTGGACATAAGACTGAAAATTATTTCAGGTGTTTTTCACAGAATCAAACTAATCTAACAGATTAATTTGGGCCCATAAAGGAATCAGTATTTAGAGCTGACTTCTGTAAAAGTTCAGTAGCAAAGCCAGGGGACTGGAAAAGCTCCCCAAGTACCTTTAACTGAAAGAAGGAAAGCACCCTCAGTCTTCTTTAGTGATCTGTAAAGCACCCAGCATGATCACCAGCATATGGTAGAAGCTTAATGCATTTTTTTTAACAAGTCAAATATTTGTGCAGTTACCACCAATAGTAACCAAATAAGCAGCTCTCTGTGCACGGGAAACATCTGGTCACAATATAAACACTTAAAGTACATTGTAATTGTCCAATCTGTGAATGTCATTTTAGAATAAGAAGATCACATTAGCATATTGTTCAAAGAAAAAAGAAAATAAATCCCTAGAGTTATGCCAATTGTCAAGTATTGTATTTGGAAAAATTAATATTGACTGGAAGATGATTAAATTAAATTTAAAGAAGTTGAATGGATTAAAAATAGTGCCTCCTGGTAGAAATTATTTTTCTCTAAAAAGAAATTCAATCTTTTAGTAAAACTTCCAAACATTGCTTAATTTGAAAATAATCTGTCTCCATTTGGCCATTCCCTTTCCCAAGTCTCTAGCAGACCTATGAGTTAGTAAGTTCAAGAGTGTCTCACTTACCATTAACATTTCTTGTATCTCAGAAAGGGCCCTTCACTAAAATTCTATTTCCAAAATATGATTCAATAGAAGAAATACAGAACAGTTCACATAGGACAGGAAAATCACAAATGCAAATACAACCTAATTAAATTGTACCTTCATGTCAATTATACTTTTAGAATAGTTATCAAATCCGAAGCACAGATCTTTCTCTTTAATTAAATGATGTATTTAGAGAGGCAAATGAGAGCCAGAATCCAGGCTTCCAAATTGAAATAAGCTCTGGATAAATTCAAATCTCATAGCAGAATCATTTATCCCTCAACCATATGGCCAGCTGCACCTGCACATACATAACAAATGCAAGGTGGTTTAAAACTAACCCAGAAAAATTTTAAAGCACTATTGGCCATTCAATGGGGCTTGATTCTAGCTTATAAATTATGTGTTTTAATAATTTATTTGTTAATTTATTTTATCTGAAACTCAGGGAAGGTGGGGGAGAGGGACAGAGAGTCAGAGAGAGAGACAGAGGCATCGCCCATCTATTGGCTGACTCTCTCAAATGCCCACAACACATTTGGCTGGGCCAGCTGAAGCCAGGAGCTGGTGACTCAGTCTGAGTCTCCCAAGTGAGTGGCAGAGACAACTACTTGAGCTGCCACCTGCTGCCTCCTGCACATGATCAGGAAGCTGGAACAGGGAGAGAAGCCAGAATCTGAACCAAGGCACTCCAGTGTAGGATGCAGTCATCCCAGAGAGCATCTTAACTGCTATAATCCCCTCATCTGAATTATGTATCTAAGAAGTGAAACTCAAAATGAACTTCTGAAAATTATATTCAAAGTATATAAGCATCCTGAGAAAGTGGTTGTAAAGGATGTAATTTTAACAATGAAATGAGTTTCTGTAAAATATTATCAGATCAATTCATCTTGATAACAATCACTGTGCTTTTTTTTTTTTTTCGCTAACAGGAGTTTTTCTATATTGGTCCTCCTTTTATTACTGTAGTTTACCAGGGAAAATTGAGAGAAAAGACTTTAAACAATGAATGATGGAGAATAAGGAAAATAATATAATGATTGTTATCTTCCCAAATACTTGTTATTGTGGTGAAGATATTTGAAGTAGATTAGGATCCTCATTGCTGCATTAAAATAGGAACAGTTTTGAGTTTATTAACATTTTTATAATGACTCTTAGCAGGATGGGCAAAAAGCATTAGACATTTATCATGATAAAAGAATTACCCCAACAATTAGTTACATTCCATTATTTTAGTCTAACACAACATAATTAATACTTTGGCATGTATATATCATCTGAGTAGTTATGTGTATGCCTAACTGCTGTCTCTCATTTGTTTAGCCACCTTTAGCTCTGCAAACCTGGTGAGAGAGAGAGAAAATTTGGGACAATAAGCTATAAACTGTCCAGATGCCATTGATCTTTCCTTCACCCCACAGTACTGACATTGGTCTAGAGTTTGAAACTGAGACAAAGTTTCTTTACTGTAAGGAATGGGGAATGCCTTCCAGAGCCCATGGGGCACAGAAAACACAATTACCATTTGCTAAGCAAAGTCATGGATTATAGACAAGAAAGGCTAAGAGCAAAACCAGAGACCAAATGGAATACTGTGTCATTATACGGATCAGGAAACCAGGATTTTAGAAGATACGGAGAGGGAATCAGCACTGCTGCATTTTGGATATGCTGTGATGAGGACGGGAGGGAGGGCGGGAGCTGGCATAGGAAGTCCTGACATTTGCTTTCCATTGCTAGTGGCTATGCAGCTCAGGAGGATCCTGGGAGCTTGAAAAATCACCATCAATATGGACAGTGTATGGAAAATCCAATTTTTTTTCTATTTTCAATCTTGTTTTTTAGTCTTTTTGAGATTATTTCTTTGTAGGATCATTATTGTCTTGCTGCAGTAAACATAGTTTGAAGACAGAAATTTAATACTATTAACAGCAGTTTATATTTGTTGAAGACTTAGTGTGACCCATCCATTGAGCTACCAAATATTTTGGTCATCATACCTTATTGTACAAAGTAGTAGTGGTTTATTTACATTTTACATCTCATGAGACTGAAGTTCAGCAGCATTATGTGAACACCTTCAGTAACTGGAAGCCTGGATTGAGTTTGTACCTCCTTGCTTCAGCCCAGCCCAGTCCCAGTCGTTGTTTGGAGAGTGAACCAACAAATGAGAGCTCTCCCTCTCTCTCTTTTCTCAAAGTAAGTAAATAATTGAATATTTAAAAGTTCATGGGAAATGCATTTTATAAAAAAGATATATAGACCTCAAAAATTTTTGCTCCAAAATGAATTTATGTCTAGTTTTCCCGTGGACTTTGTGAAATACTTTCATATATTTGGGGAAAATGAAGATTCTTATTTAAAAAGTTACATCCTTGGAACTGATTTAAGAAATAACTACTTGTTCTAAGGATGTAGTGTTTAGCACTAGGAAAAAATAAGAGACAAAAACAAAACAACAGTAATTTAAATGAAACATAATCATATTTTTGCAACATTTAGTAAGAATGTTGGATAGTGTCAATATGGTAATTTTTCCTAAGATGTAATTGTAAAACCTAACTATCCTTCAGATCTTTGGATCTGCATTCCTGTAGTTTCATTCAAAGAGCACAATATTCAAAAAAAGTAGTCTCTCTGATTTTTCTTTCTTAGGAGAAAAGCTACTATGAAGACTGTGATCCAGGAGTCCACAGAAGATCAGATTTCTCAGTGCTGTGTGTTCCTATCTGCAACATTGTCTGGAGTTGGTGTCTAAGACCACCCACGGGGAAACGCTAAGATTCATCACCGGGAACATGGCCTCCCCTTTGTCAATTGTTCTTCATGTTATCATCATGTCAGCAGAATTCTTCACAGGGATTGCAGTAAATGGCTTCCTTGTAATCGTGAACTGTAATGAGCTGTTCAAATGCAGAAAGCTAATACCAATGCAAATTCTCTTAACATGTCTAGGGATGGCTCGATTTGGTCTGCAGGTAGTGTTGATGATACAGAGTTTTTTGTCTACATTTTTTCCAGTGTTTTATCAGGAAAAAGTGTATGGTAGAGTGCTAGTAGCCTTTTGGATGTTTTTTAGCTCTCTCAGTCTCTGGTTTGCCACTTGCCTTTCTGTATTTTACTGCCTCAAGATTTCAGGCTTCACTCAGTCCTATTTTCTTTGGCTGAAATTCAGGATTTTAAAGTTAATACTCTGGCTGCTCCTGGGCAGCCTGCTGGTGTCGCTGAGCATCACAGCTCTAAGCGCCCATGTTGATTACTCTAAAAGCACAAAGGAAGACGACCTCAGAAACATGACAGTGAATAAGACTAAACTCCAGATGAGGAGTGTCAGTGGAGTACTTCTTGTCAACCTGGCATTGCTATTCCCCCTGGCCATATTTGCAATGTGCATTTATATGCTGTGCGTCTCTCTTTACAAGCATATTTATCGGATGCAGAACATGTCTCATGGTTTTAGAAGTGCCAGCACAGAAGCCCATATAAATGCACTAAGAATGGTGATAACGTTCTTTTTCTTCTTTATTTTCTATTTTGTTGCTTTCATGGCAAATATATCATTTATCATCCCATACAGAAGTCAGTGGTTCTTTGCAGTAAAAGACATAATGGCCGCATATCCCTCTGGTCATTCAGTCATCATAATCTTGAGTAATTCTAAGTTCCAACAATCATTCAGGCAAATTCTCTGCCTCAAGAAAAATTGTTGAAGACGAGGACCAATGTGGAAAATGTTTTCCTTTGGTGTGGGCTCACTGGCCTGAGCTGTTTTGTGTGCTCGCCCTCCCTCTCTGTGAGTTTCCTATTCATGTTCCACCTCCAGGACACAGGAGGCTGATAGAATTTTGAGGTGGGGTGCATAGGATATCTAGTTTTCCAGAGATTGTATAGATAAAAATGATGTGATGTTAATATATTTCAGTGAACAGTACCTGCACTGGAGTACCAGTTGTGTTTTTGGAAATTAAAAATATAATAATAATACTGGGAACGATCTGGTAAAGCCACCACCTGCAGTGCCAGCATCCCATATGGGCTCTAGTTCGAGTCCCAGCTGTTCCACATCCGATCCTGCTCTCTGCTGTGGCCTGAGAAAGCAGTGGGAGATGGACCAGATCCCTGGGTCCCTACACCCACGTGGGAGACCCAGAAGAAGCTCCTGGCTCCTGGCTTCAGATCAGCACAACTCCGACCATTGAGGCCATCTGGGGAGTGAACCAGCAGATAGAAGATTCTCTCTATCTGCCTCTGTCTCTGTTACACTGCCTTTCAAATAAATAAATAAATCTTTTAAAAAAATACTAAGACTTCATTTGGCTGACCAATGTAGGTCTTTTATCTGTCTTCCCAAGATATTGGGAATCTTTTGATTTAGATAAAGAAAAATATCTTGAATTAATTCAAGACTTGACCCAATGTAGTAATTTGGTTGCACCTAACTATTTTTTAAATAGATTCTTCAGTAAAATGCAAATTATATGTTGAAAGTATGTATCAACAATGTACTGTTAAACTGGGCAAGGTGTTTTTGGTAGACAACAAGGTGCAAATTGAACTGGAATTCATGTGCAGGCATAGACATGAGCAAAGATCTCCATTTTTTACCAAAGGAGAAATATTTTTCCAGTCCCCTGAAGTATTAACTTCACACCCAGAGAGAATGTGGGAGAGGTTGATGACAGGGAAGTTCAGGCAGGTGTTTTAGCTTCTTCACAACTAGGATCTCCTGTGGGCTATGGCAGCAGTAAACAGTTTAAAGAGCTAAAGTAAAAACTTTGAAATCTGATTGCTAGATTTGAATGGATTCTGCTACTCAAGAATATCGAATAGTCTTCCTTTGGGGAAGCATATGTATGTTTTGAATGTGTTTAAATAAGATATGTGTTTGAATCTACAGAATTATTTTTGACTCTTTAACAAAAAAGAATGCAGTATCGTTATAACTGTAAACAAATTGCCTGAGGATTGCTAACAATTCCCCAGATGATAGTATTCATGCTTGTGGGATGGCGGCATACACACTGAGAACCACTAGTTTGAAGCCATTGTACTGTAGAGGATAGGAACCTGGTCTCTGAGATCAAATTGAGTCCTAGCCTGGAGTCTGATTCTAACTATATAACCTTGGGCAAGTTATTGGACTCTCCCGCCTCGTTCTTTCATCTGTTAAAGGAAATAATAAAACTACCCACTCTCAAAGTTTGCTGTGAGAATGCATTAGCAAGTATAAAATACCTTGAAAAGAGCCTGATACACAGCAAAAGTCAGGTAGGCCCAAATATTGTATTAAGGTTAAAAATCTTCAGTTATCACCATATGGGACTCATGAAATCTCTTTCTTTGAAAAATTCTCAACTCTTTTGAAATCAGATAAATAGAACTAAATTTTGGTATTGGTATTTTTATAGGTAAAGCATAGCTCAGTTTGCAATCATAAACAGAGTTAGTAGCTTGATAAGGGATAAAACTGACTGAATCATATTTGGGGAAATGATGTAAAAGGCTTCATACAGACTGAGGTGGTGAAACAAGAATTCTGGACCATCGGAGAGTGACCAAAGGACAATGAGGATCTGAGGATGGGAGAAGGGGTGGCACCAAGAACGGAGGTGCAGATATGACGTCTGCTGTTCTGTCTGGGTTCTGAAGAAAGGCCATTGATGGCAGAATCCACAATGGGGTCTTCTGTGAGCTGTGAGTAAGGTGGGGCAAGGTCAGCCCTGCCTTGCAGCATCTTTCACACCCACAGTCAAGTGAGCATGTTTCAAACATCGATAACTGGAAGGGGAGGTCTCTGACCATCGCACATTTGAGATGCCCTTGAAACAAAGAGGTAAAAACAAAATCCTACAAGTTAACAGACGAGCTTTGAACATTAACATCGCTGACAAAGACAGCTGCAGGCTCAGTGAAAAGCGGCCAAAGTTAGTTTAGACACAATCTGATAACATTGCATACTTATTATAATTAGGTATATTTTACCTACACACAACCCTACTTTGTAGACCTGTTTTACCAATGAATTTATCTCATTTCTGAGAGAAAGTCTCAAAAAGTCTCACTTCTACAGAGCAGTCACTTTCTCACTCAATGAATTCCATCCCCCAACCACACTGTGTGATATCCCGTATGGTGCCCACAAAGAGGACAACTTGCACAATTGTTACAAGGGTAAACTGAGGCATATATAACTGTCAGTATCAAGTCTTTTTGTAAATTACATCTTCAGTCTCCTAAGCAGTTTATCCAAATCAATACAGCAAAGATTGCTGTTTTACTGTGGTTGATCTGAGCCTTTTTTAAAAACATCTTTTAAGTTAGATATAATTTTCATTGTAGAGATCTTTCACATCCTTAGTTAAATTTATTCCAAGGTATTTAAAATTTTTGTAACTATGTGAATTGAATTTATCTTTCAAGTTCTTTCTCAACCACTGTTGAGTATATAATGGGTATTGACTTTTTTTAAAGATTTATTTATTTGAAATGCAGAGTTACAGAGAGAGGTAGAGAGAGAGAGAGAGAGAGAGATCTTCCATCCACTAGTTCACTCCCCAGATGGCCGCAACAGCCAGAGCTGCACCAGTCTAAAGCCAGGAGCCAGGAGCTTCCTCAGGGTCTTTCCACATGGGTGCAGGGGCCCAAGAACTTGGGCCATCTTCTGCTGCTTTAGCAGGCCATAGCAGAGAACTGGCTCAGAACTGGAGCAGGCAGAACTCAAACTGGCACCCATATGGGATGCCAGAGCTTCAGGCTGAGACTTTAACCTGCTGTGCCATAGTGCCGGCCTGGGACTATTGACTTTTGTGTGTTGAGCTTATATCCTGCAATTTACCAATCTCTCTTATCAGTTCCAATAATCTCTTGGTGGAATCTTTTGATTTCCCTATGTATAGGATCATGTCATCTGCAAACCAGGATAATCTGACTTTTTGTATTTGTATTTGTATTTTGTCTTTGTATTTATATTCCTTTGATTTCTTTTTCTTGCCTAATGGCTTTGGCTAACACTTCCAGATCAATATTGAATGGCAGAGGTGAATATGGGCATCCTTGTCTGGTTCTGGATCGTAGGGGGAATGCTTCCAACATTTTTCCAATATACAGCTGGCTGTGGTTTTATCATATATTGCCTTAATTGTGTTAAGGAATGTTCTTTTTACACCCACTTTGCTTAAAGTTTTTATCATGAAAGGAGGTCTTTTTTGTTTCAATTTTGTTTATTTCTTTTTTTAATTTTAATTATTTATTTCCTACTACTAATTTTGGGTTGCTTTGTTCTTGTTTTTCTAGGTCCATGAGATGCATTGATTTGATCATTTATTTCATGCCTTTCCAATTTCTAGATGTAGGTGCTCATTTCTATAAACTTCCCTCTTAATGCTGTTTTGCTGTAACCCATAAGTTTTGATATGTTGTACTGTCATCGTCATTCATTTCCAGGAACTGTATTAGTTTCTTTTTGATTTCTTCTATGACCCACACTGTTCATCCAGGAGCATGTGGTTCAGTCCCATATGTTTGCATATTTTCTAGAGTTTCTTAAGTTATTAATTTATAGCTTTATTCCATTGTGGTCAGAAAGGATACTGGTGATTTCAATTCTTTTTAATTTGTTGCCTATGGCCCACCATATGGTCTTTCCTAGAGGTTTTATGAATGATGAAAAGAATGTGTATTCTGCAACTGTGGGATGAAATGTTTTCTTCCTTCCTTCCTTCCTTCCTTCCTTCCTTCCTTCCTTCCTTCCTTCCTTTTACAGGCAGAGTGGACAGTGAGAAAGAGAGACAGAGAGAAAGGTCTTCCTTTGCATTGGTTCACCCTCCAATGGCCGCCACGGCTGGCGCGCTGCAGCCAGCGCACTGTGCTGATCTGAAGGCAGGAGCCAGGTGCTTCTCCTGGTCTCCCATGGGGTGCAGGGCCCAAGTACTTGGGCCATCCTCCAGTGCACTCCCGGGCCACAGCAGAGAGCTGGCCTTGAAGAAGGGCAACCGGGACAGAATCTGGCACCCCGACTGGGACTAGAACCCGGTGTACCAGCACCACAGGCGGAAGATTAGCCTATTGAGCCACGGCGCCAGCCGACAAATTCTTTCAATTTCTGTTCATTCTGAAAGGGCTTTATTATGTAAGTTGCTGTGTTATTTTATTATCTACTTACCTTTATTAAACATCAATTCATTCTTAATTGTGTTTACTATTTCCAGTTTGGAAATCATTTCCTTAGATAGAGACGATAATTCAATATATTGAATTGTTAGATTGTTCAGCTACATAATGGAATCAGTTAATATTATCCCTTATTCTTTCTTCCTTTTCCTGAGCGTAATTTAAAGTGCATTTTACTTCCTTTTAACTTATAGAATATTTCAAACTACAGTTGCCTGCTAAATGACAAAATGATTACTACAATGATTTAAGTCAATTTATTTGTATAAATATGTTGATATTCAAAAGTGTACACGGTCCTTAGGCCTAAAAACATAAAAATCAGAGTGTAAGTTTTCATTTGCCATGACTTTTTACCTTTCCAAACTTGTCAATACTGAAAAACATGTCCTTGTACATCTCATAGGTATTCTTGTGCAGTAAAATATGCATTCAGAATTATCTACCTAAGAAGAGATTATTCTACATTTAATTTGAGTCACTTAGTAAACAAATCGTATTTCCACATTGGAAAATTCTGAAAATGCCCTCATGAGAGCGTGGAAGAAAATTCCAGAAGGTTTCTTGTGCTGTTCCTCCATCCAAACTCCCTTCACCTCCTTTTTAATCATTTTCCTCTAGTGCCTGTTTTGTGATGTATCATGGGTTTGTATCTTATTAGTTAATTATTTATAATATTGAAATACGAGGCCATGCTATAATGTATTTTTTATCCCAAACAACTAATAAGTGCAGACTAAACATAAAGAACCATATGTACCTCTATGTCCAAAACAAGTAGGCAGGCCAGCTCGGCGGCTCAATAGGCTAAACCTCCGCCTGCGGCACCAGCACACCAGGTTCTAGTCCCGGTTGCCCCTCTTCCAGGCCAACTCTCTGCTGTGGCCCGGGAGTGCAGTGGAGGATGGCCCCAGTCCTTGGGCCCTGCACCTGCACGGGAGACCAGGAGAAGCACCTGGCTCCTGCGTTCAGATCAGTGGGATGTGCCGGCCGCGGTGGCCATGGAGGGTGAACCAACGGCAAAAGGAAGACCTTTCTCTCTGTCTCTCTCACTGTCCACTCTAACTGTAAAACAAACAAACAAACAAACAAGGAGGCATAAAATAATGACAGGTCGATCTAATTGCCAAAAACTGTAAGAAATTTAGTCAACTCAACCTTATTGTCATTTCTACAAGGAAAAGAAAGCATAAAACTGGATACTGAGGAAAATTAGTTTTGTTTCTCAGATTATAAACTAGGACAAAATTACAGGTGGTACACTGCCACCTAGTGGCCAAACTTCACAAAATTATTTATGACAAAATTTTGAGAATATCAGTGAATTTATGTTCATTTTTTAAAATGTCATTATGATGCTGTGCTTATTTTACAAATAAAAGCATTGTTATATTTTTGGAAGGAACATTATGAGATAATTGCTGATAACATGAGGAACAGGGAGAGATAGTTGGGGATCCATGTCAAATTTGAAGATTGGACATGAATGAACTCCTGCTGATAGTTACAAAGGATTCATTATGCACTTCTGTCTGCTTTTATGTGTTTGAACATAAGCAAGAAATATGTGCCTTGTGAGTGTGGCGTTGATTCTAAAAAGATGTCTATGCAAATTGTATCACAGAAATCAATAGGTTGAGCCATAGAATTTGAAATCTTCATTTGTTTCATAAAATAAACCTTGGAGAAGTTAACCTTCCTAAGCCCAAGTAAATAAAAGTTGAAACAGCTTGAAGAAATGTGTATATCAGATATCAAACCCACATCACCTCACAAATGAAGGAGATTACTACACAGAGAAGGTGGCTTGTCAGGACTCAGTATTTAGCACAACGGGACTGAAACACAGTATTTCCCTGTCTCTCTCTTCAGGGAGTAATGAGCTATTCATTATGTTGATTTTCCAGGCTTTGACAAAAAGAGCGTGGGATTTATTGCCTTGTTGCTAGGTTTTAGGCAACAATTAGAGAGCCAAGTTTCACATTTTTTTTTCTTACTCTGACTTGAGTCCCTTAGAAAATTAATGCCATTTCTTAGCAACCCAAATGAGTTAAACACCAATATATTTTGAGTTCTCTAGTGACGCAAAGGACAAATGTTTCCCTGGGTTTTGCAGAAAAGATTTGTTGAGATACACTGCCTGGAAATGTTTACGAACAGCTCTGAATACCAAATGGTAAGTGAACTTGCTGATTTTCTAATGAGTGCTCCCAAATGCTTTTATTATGAATTCTTCTACTTTGTCAATTTAACTAGCTCTTTGGAATCTATGTATTCTATCTGTTAAGATACATGAGATAGAACAAATAGCCTGATGGTTACCCCATATCAGAGTTCCTGGATTCCATGTCCAGCTACAGCTCCTAATTCCAGCTTCTTGCTAATGAGCACTCTGGTAGGTAGTGGGTGATGGCTTCAGCAATTGCCCACGTGAGAGACCTGGATCGATGCCCATCTCCCAGCTGCAGCGCTGGCCCGGATCCGTTAGGCCCAGTTGGTGAGTGAACTAGCAGATAAGAGTAGTCTCTCTCTCTCTCTCTCTCTCTCTCTCTCTCTCTTTGACTCTCAAATAAATAAAAAGATATGAGTTCACTCATGAGAAAAGCAAATTATTTTGTATAATGTAGTCAATTAGAAATCATGAAAAACCTTTTAAGGACTAAGTCCAACTGGAAGAAAGAACTGAGTCTCCCTTTATTCAGGTTTACAAATGTGTATGAACTTGTGGTCTAAGAGTTCACTGTCAAGAGCAAACTATTTCACAATAAGCTTTTCTTGTATTGGCAATATTTACATATTGAGTACATCTATATCTATTCAGTTAACTCCAAAATATTTGTCACAAAATGAACCCCAGATATACAAAGAAAGCATGCACTTCTTTTTTAGTCTGCAGAATTTTTATGAATATATGAAGCAGATTTTTTTCCCTATATTTGAGAGAAAGACTAAGAGAAGGGGAGGAGGGGAGAGCTCCCATCCACTGGTTGGAATGCTCATAATGGTGGCAGCTGGGCTGGCCTGAAGCCAGGAGCTGGGGATTCAACCCAGGTCTCTCACATGGTGGCCAGACCCAGTCACCTGTGCCATTGCTGCTGCCTTGCAGGACCTGCGTTAGCAGGAAGCTGGGGTCAGGAGACAGCCTGGTGTCAAAGTGAGGCGCTCCATCATGGGACACAGGAATAAACACCCACTCCCCATCCAGCATATTTTAAAAACAGATACCAAGAATATTTTGTGATTTTACAGCAGCAAATACTTCAGGAAGAAATTCAAATAAAAAATTTTTACAGCGGTTTGTCATTATTCAGAAAAATATGATTAGATGTTTGGGTTTTTAGATAGTTTTGTTAAAAGGAAATATCTGATTCTCAGAATTTAGCAAACATATTATTCCTATTATAGTTGAACCATATAAAATTTGGGTTTTGTGAGGTTGAAAAATGGCTGAATGACAGCAGTTTCACACAGTTCAACCTAAGACATGCAGAACTATGCATATACAGAGATTCCTGTCTCAATGATTTTATAATCTAATTTGGAGCAAACTTATAAATCATTAGCAAGGTATAAGGCAACATGCAGCTTCAAGTTCCATTCTTGTGTTCAGAAAAGATGAGTCCTGATAGGAGTATCTGAAAAGGCCTTGACGGGATGCTGCATTTAAAAATGTCCTTCAAGTATAAGTATAACTTCATAGAGAACAACTGTGCTTATTGAACAGATTCAACCATTCCATTATTTCCAATGAAACATCTTGGACAAAATAGAGCTTCTATACAATCAGTATATACCATTAAACTTTTGACTAATAACAATATCAGTATTTTTTTCTTTGATCTATCAGCCATATGATCTTGTATTCCTTTACACTTTCATTTTTTCCATACAAAGTGGAGGGTATGATGCGCTGTCTCTATCACAGGTCTCTATCATTCAGCTGGACCTCCTGGTGGTTTACTTACTTGTAGAGACTACAAAGACACATGCTAATCTGATTCATATAGTACAGAAACTGAATTTTACAAACATTTGGGGTCTTCAACAAGTTCATGAAAATGAGAATATGCCTGGACTTCAAAATTTTGGCACCAAAATAAGTTTATTTTTTAATTTCAACACCACTGGATGACTAGGTGGAGTAGGTAGGCCTTGGGTAAGTTAAAGCACCACAACACACATTATTCCTAACAATAATCAACCATTTTTCTTGAATAAGCTTTCCCCAATTGCTACAAACTTTTGGCTCGTTTTGAGTTCTAAGACAGTTGATTTGGACAGTTTTTGGCAGCTATTTTAATCACTTTATATGGAGTAGACTTTTGTAGTGACATCTCCTCTCTTCTTTAATGCTGGGTTTTTATTTTCCTTCAACTCACCTGCATTATTGCATCAAAACCTCACTGCCATTGTGATATATGTGTGACAAGGTCATCAGTGCACGCTGTGCTTACCCTGTGGCCCCTGGTATCACTACTGCTGATCATAACTCCTTCTGGAAAGATACTTCCTTGTTTATTCAGGTGCTCCTTTGATCGCTATCCATTAATAATTTCACTCACCTTTCTTTCTCCATCAATTCTCTAAAGCCTATTGTTTTTCAAAATTCCACACATTCGTTTGTGTGTCTAAACTGAAGAATTTCACCCAAGCTCATTACTTTAACTGATGTCTGAATGACTTTCAGCCTTGTAACTCTAATCCAGAATTGCTCTTTCATTCCTAGGATGGCAGATTAGAGCATTTTTTCAGCAAATAGTCACACACACACAGTCACATACACATACAAGGGGTCTTCAAAAAGTTTACAGAAAATAATTACAAAAAAAAGGTGCACAAATTTCTAAATTTTCTTGCACCAAAGTAAATTGATCTTTTAAAAATATTTATTTTTCATTTACTGGAAAGGAAGGTGAATGGGAGAGAGACAGATGAAACTTACTTTCACCTGCTTGAAGGCAGATGGAAGAGAGATGATGGATGGGGTTGGGGGGAGAGAGAGAGAAAGATTGATTTTCCATCTGCTGGTTCGCTCCCCCAAATGCCGACTCAGGCTGAAGTCAAGAGCCAGGGACTCATTCTGGCTCTCCTACGTGGTGGCAGGGGCCCAAGCTCTTGAGCTACCGCCTGCTGCCTCCAGAATGCACTAGGAGGAAAAGCAGGCAGGACTTCAGTGGAACTTTAGTGTGGGCTGCAGGTGTCCCCGAGGCAGCTCAGTCTGCTGTGCCACAATGCCTGTCCCTAAGCTAATCGTCAATGAACTTGAGAAGCATATTGACAAAAACCCCAGAATTCTGTCTACAATTCCTTTGCTGCTGAATACCTGGTCAGTAAAAGCGGATTGGAAATTCTCGTGCACAGGTTGTCATGGCAGTAACTGTTGAACCTGGGGTGGCTCACACAGCCCTGCGTGCCCGAGGAATGAATGAAGGCACGTTGCACACCCTTTCTGCGTCTCGGTGAAATGTTCTTTCCTTCACCTGGCGTGTTTCTACTCACTCTTTAACATCAATCCGAATGATGACTTTTTCTTTTTTAAATAAAGATTTATTTATTTATCTGAAAGGCAGAGAGAGAGGGAGGAGGAGAGGGGAGGGGAGGGGAGGGGGGCGGAGGGAAGGGGATGGGGAGATTGATTCTATTCACTGGTTCACTAGGCAAATACAGCAGCTAGGGCTGGCCTGGGCTGAAGCCAGATGCAGCATCTCCAGGCGGGTTTCCCATTGTAGGTGGCAGAGATTGTAATACTTGAGCCATCATCTGCTGCCTTCCAGGGTGCACATTAGCAAGAAGCTGGATCAGAAGTGGAAGTAGGACTCAATCCCAGATGTCTAATATGGGATGCAGGTGTCCCAAGTGGTGACTTAACCCTTGTGCACCACAACGGCCACCCCAAGTCAGTCACTTAGCACAGTGACAGCTGTGACAAAGGTGCTATATAAACACTCTTCTTCCTCTCCGTGCACACTCCCTGTCATTTCTGAGCTTTCTTTTGCTTCATAAATCTTTCAAAGCCCACTCTCACCTGGAGAGAAAATGTTGACGATGCCATTGCCATAGCAACAGCCTGCACAATGTCTGTTGCAGATTCCTCTATGTAACAAAGCCTCCGCATAATGAATGCTGAGTCCCCAGGAGGGGAGAGAGACAGGAACACTGCAAGGAGGCTGCAGCGTCCCCCACAACGAGACCACAACTCCAAATGGGGAAAAAACGTCCCTAAACCTCCACAGTCTGCAAAGAAAGTTGACATATGGGAAATACAGCCTCCTGATTTCAGCCACAAACTGTACACATACTCAACATTTCCAGAAATACCGTCAAGGACCATTAAGGAGGAGCGAAGGAGAAATCAAAGCACATTTCCTGAAAGCAGGCTTCAGTTGCCCAGCATAAAGACTTGTCCCAAGAAGGCCACGTCGCCCAAGTTTGTGACTACATTTCCACGTCAAGATCTACAGAAAACAAAGTTACTGTGTGTGAAGAATGGAAAATATCCCCCAGGTGTACACATCCATCCCAAACCACAGGAATTTCGACAGGTATAAAAGAGCTTTTGATTCTAAACAACATAAAACAGAAAAGGGTCAATGCACCATTTTTTATTTATTTCTTAATTGGGACAACTATTACATAAGCAAAAAAGGTATGTGTATATAAGCTGCAAAATTCTGCTTCCTTGTTTCTCGTGGAGTGTCACAATTCAAATGCGGTGATGAATGACAGAAGAGAAAGGTAAGGCCTTGGTTACTGTTTCTGATGGGATTTTATCTGCCAGGGAGAGTGGCCAACTCTGGGTGGGCTTAGGTCTGAGAAGAGCAGTTTGGATAGAGGTGTAATTGCAGAACAAACTTGGTAAGGATTTTGAAAGCGTGGCAGGAAATATGACGATGCAGATGAGACCAAAATAGAATTCCAGTAGAATATCAGTAATTTCTACACTAAGGTCTATAATTTAGTATATAAGTATTACTCTTGCAAGACAAAGAGAGAAGCAATAGGACTGGCACCACAAAAAATAATGAGAAAAAAGGAATACCTTATTGAACTGGGAAAATACAGGATGACAGTTGAGAGTATGACTTCTGTGGTCATACTATTCCTGTCCTCTTACTTTCCAATCATGCTGGACAAGTTCCCAAACCTCCTCCCTTATTGATAGCATAAAATAAAAATGCAGTGTATGTAATCTTGTTATTTTAAGTAATGCAGACAATATATTCAAAGTCCAATATACTCAATAGTCCAGACTTTAACATAGTCTGGACAACAGAGGTATTCAATGAGTGTGAACTCTTAGCATCTATTAGGATAACAGTTGGGAAATTCACAAAGCCATAGTCAGTACCTTCTGTTACTCTTTCAGGGCATCTACCACTTGTAGCAAATAAAATATTACCTTTTGGAGATGAGAAAAGTCAATTAAGTATTAAATGCTACTGGTTTATTAAAGTATTTTGCTAGTTACAGTTAGAATTAGAAGACTTGAGAAGTGTGGGGAAGGAAGGACATTTTTAGGTTAGCTAAACTAATTTGTTCTATAAATGAGTGAATGGGAAGCAATGTTATAACTTGTGCAGCCACCAGATGTCAGCATTGTTACAAACTGAGCTTCAACTGAAGGATTTTGATATTAATTTGGCCTCATAATGTGTTTAATTAAAGACTGAATAATTTTGTATTAGGAAGTCTCTTCTTTAGACCTTTTATTATTTTTCTATTTTTATTATTTTCCTGTGACCCAGAGTTTCCCATTAGGAAGACGACCTTATCAGACTTGATACCCTCAAGTTCACCGTTTTGTGTCACACTGATTCAGCTTTGGAGTAGGGACCTTTGTGATGTTTATTTGATCAGTTTCTGCAGCACACACATTCTGTTTCCCTTCAGATCGGTTCCATTCAACCAGCTATGGGTGAAGGTTTAGTCTAGATGTTCAGACAGCCGCGTCCCCATCAGTTTGATCCCTGGCTTGGGCTCTGGAACCCAGCTCCCTGCTAATGCAGAACCTGGGATGTAGTAGTGATGGGGCAAGTAATTGGATCCCTGCAACCCATAGGGGACACTTGGATTGAGTTTCCAGCTACTGGCTTCAGCCTTGCCCAACCCCTACGCCAGCTGTTGCAGGCATTTAAGGCGTGAACCAATGGATTAAAACTCTCTTTGTGTCTCTCAGCCTCTCTCTCTGTCTCTCTCTTTCTTTCTGTACCTCTCAAGTAAATTTTTAAGGTATAAAACAAAAAATAAACTCTAAAGAAAATCTATTCTGTTTTACAGCTTACTAAGAATAACCAATAGTTCTCTTCCCTAGGCATGGCAAATTATTTTTATTGAATATTTTTGCTATAATTTTATCCTTGAAATAAGTTCAGCTCCAGAAATATAATATGTAATGCTATGTACATTTAAATTTAAGCTGCTAAATTTTGAATCTATTTACTTAATTACATACTGCTTAACTACTTCTGATCAACTCATACAAAGACAATTGAGGTAATCCTGGAGCCAAAAAATGAATTATTCAAATAGTTCCAAGTTCTATATTATTCTTTCAAATTTTTATATACAATTTTCAAGTACTACAAAAAAATCCTCCAAATTGCATTTATACCAATGAAATATTAAAATTGGAAAAGATCAAATTCTAACTACAATAAGACTATTTATTATCAATAGTGCAATCTGCTCTTTACCTATCTAGCACCAACCTGAATTGCTAAACTTTGTGACAACTTATGAACGGGACCCTTTTGGATTAAAATTAAAGTCACAGCTCTTAAGTACAGGTAAGTTGTTATCATAAAGTTATAATTGTGCAAAAAATAAGCTTTCTGTATTATACATTAATAATAACACTTCAAAGACATATAATTTAAAATGTGATTTTTACACTTATTACCTCTAATAATATGATAAAATTTTAATGCATTTTAATTAATTGCAAAAACTTATTTAATTTGCTACCAACAATTTTTTTTGCTTTCAAACTTTTATTTAATGAATATAAATTTCCAAAGTACAGCTTATGGATTACAATGGCTTCCCCCCCATAATGTCCCTCCCACCCGCAACCCTCCCCTTTCCCACTCCCTCTCCCCTTCCATTCACATGAGGATTCATTTTCATTTCTCTTTATATACAGAAGATCAGTTTAGCATACATTAAGTAAAGATTTCAACAGTTGGCTCCCACACAGAAACATAAAGTGAAAAATACTGTTTGAGTACTCGTTATAGCATTAAATCTCAATGTACAGCACACTAAGGACAAAGATCCTACATGAGGAGTAAGTGCACAGTGACTCCTGTTGTTGACTTAACAAATTGACACTCTTGTTTATGGCATCAGTAATCACCCTAAGCTCTTGTCATGAGCTGCCAAGGCTATGGAAGCCCCCTGAGTTCACTGACTCTGATCATATTTATTTTAATAGATCACTGAACATTGAGTTTGTAACTCAACCTGTGATGTGAAAAGAAAAACTAGAAGGTAAAGCTTAAAGGACTAGACTCTGGAACCAAGTGGTACAACCTTGAATTCTTGGTTTTACTGACCCAAATTGCCTAAACTGCCTACCTCTTGGGTTTCTCATCTGTAAACAAAAATATTAATAGCTCACTCTACATCACAGAGTGACTGCAAGCATTAAGTCTGCTACAACCATCGGTAAAACACTTAGTTAATAATGCATTATATATATATATATATATATATATATATATATATATAAAGGCCGGCGCTGTGACTCACTAGACTAATCCTCCGCCTGTGGTGCCGGCACCCTGGGTTCTAGTCCCGGTTGGGGCACCGGTTCTGTCCAGGTTGCTTCTCTCCCAGTCCAGCTCTCTGCTGTGGCACGGGAAAGCAATGGAGGATGGCCCAAGTGCTTGGGCCCTGCATCCACATGGGAGACCAGGAGGAAGCACCTGGCTCCTGGCTTCGGATCGGCACAGCGTGCCGGCTGAAGCAGCCATTTGGGGGGTGAACCAACGGAAGGAAGACCTTTCTCTCTCTCTCTCTCTCTCTCACTGACTCTGCCTGTCAAAAATAATAATAATAATGCATTATAAGCACATGACAAATACACATCACCATTATTATATTTAAGGTGCCATTTATATAGTATTTTTCCAGAATAAATTTGTACTCTCCAGAATTCCTTATTTGGATAAGCTGCATAATACACACATGCTATATTTTACATATTACATGTCAATTAAACAATAAGATAGCAATGGTTAACTGGATAGTGGGACTGAATTTTGTTTTCCAAATGAGAATCAAATAATTTTATAATTGTAAATTTAACATCTCTTATTTACAAATTGCATGCACATTTTGACGTGGATTATATAATATAACTCTTGTCTAGGTATAATTAATTAAAATGGAACAATCAACTTTCCTTGTATACGCCCTGTGTAACTTATCACAGAAGATTTATAAGTCTCAGTCCCTGACCCCAAGAATCTTCTAAGTAAAACATAAGTAGAAAAATTTAATCAAAGGTAGAAAAATGTAAAAAAAAGTCATCAAAGTTACAAAATGCTGTTGCTAAGCAGACACTTTAGAATGAAGCTTCCATTGAAATAAAAGCTAGGACAGGAATCAGAAGGGCAAAATTAAATCCAGCAGAACTGACAAAGGGATAAACAAAGTCTTAATTTTTAGATTTGCATCTATAAATTTTCTAGTGATTCACCACCCTTGGATACTGATCTCCCTGGATAACATCATATCTCAGAGATCATGAAAAAAGACACATCATCACTAAACTTCTCATTTGTCTTCATTTGTCTAGCACAAGTAACAAGCCAGCGACTGAAAGATGATAAACAGAAGAACAGAAGAGAAAGATTTATCACCCACAAGTCTCCTGAGTGCACCTGGGATACAAAACTAATTTTATCAAAATCCCCGTGGCCCGTTAAAGCTGCTTCATACACAGTAGGTTTGATGCTTCCTCTATGGTTGTTGGGCAATGTCCCTGGCACTGCTGTCAATGCCTGCTCTGTTGCAGGCATCAGTGTGTGGTTGTAGTGGATGCAGTGAAAGATACTCTATCTTTAAAAGTAAAACATAGGGCCGGTGCCGCGGCTCACTAGGCTAATCCTCCGCCTTGCCGCGCCGGCACACCGGGTTCTAGTCCCGGTTGGGGCTCCGGATTCTGTCCCAGTTGCCCCTCTTCCAGGCCAGCTCTCTGCTGTGGCCAGGGAGTGCAGTGGAGGATGGCCCAAGTGCTTGGGCCCTGCACCCCATGGGAGACCAGGAGAACCACCTGGCTCCTGCCTTCGGATCAGCGCGGTGCGCTGGCCGCAGCACGCTGGCCGCAGCGGCCATTGGAGGGTGAACCAACGGCAAAGGAAGACCTTTCTCTCTGTCTCTCTCTCTCTCACTGTCCACTCTGCCTGTAAAAATAAATAAATAAAAAAAGTCAAACATATACATCCCCCACTTTTTCTTCCTTTTTTTTTTTTTTTTTTACAGGCAGAGTGGACAGTGAGAGAGAGAGAGAGAGACAGAGAGAAAGGTCTTCCTTTGCCGTTGGTTCACCCTCCAATGGCCGCTGCGGCCAGCGTGCTTCGGCCGGTGCGCTGTGCTAATCCAAAGGCAGCAGCCAGGTGCTTCTCCTGGTCTCCCGTGCAGGTGCAGGGCCCGAGCACTTGGGCCATCCTCCACTGCCCTCCCAGGCCACAGCAGAGAGCTGGACTGGAAGAGGAGAAACCGGGACAGAATCCAGTGCCCCAACCGGGACTAGAACCTGGTGTGCAGGCGCACAGGTGGAGGATTAGCCTAGTGAGCCGGGGTGCCGGCCTTTTTTTTTTTTTTTTTTTTTTTTTGGACAGGCAGAGTGGACAGTGAGAGAGAGAGACAGAGACTTTTTCTTGAAATGCAAACAGTGGGTTATCTGGATTTTTAGATTTTCTTTTCATATTACAAAGATAGTTGGCATTGGGACCAGAGCTGTGGCGTAATGGGTTAAAGCCCTGGCCTGAAGCGCCGATATCCCATATGGGCACCGGTTCTAGTCCCGGCTGCTCCTTTTCCAATCCAGCTCTCTGCTGTGGCCTGGGAAAGCAGTAGAAGATGGCCCAAGTCCTTGGGCCCCTCTGCACCCACGTGGGAAACCTGGAAGAAGCTCCTGGCTCCTGGCTTCAGATTGACACAGCTCCAGCTGTTTTGGTCATCTGGGGAGTGAACCAGCAGATGGAAGACCTCTCTCTCTCTGTCTCTACCTCTCTCTGTAACTCTGTCTTTCAAATAAATAAAATCTTAAAAAAAAAAAAAAAAGATAGTTGGCATGGCGGGTAGAGGGCTGAATATTGCAAGGAATTTTCCCCAAATTTTCTTCTAGTCTCATTGGGAACCCATAAACAGTTTAATTCACAAAAGTCTGGCAAGAAGACTCTGTCACACACACACACACACACACACACAGAAATATTTGCTTATACCATGGCTCAAATTCTACCCCAGACGAACAAGACTGCTTTTAAAGCTATGTATGCCTGAACAGAACAAACTGTGAATTTGGCATTAAGATAAACTTTTAAAGCAATGATTTTTAAACAGCAATGTAAGAACTGAAATAGGGGGCCAGAGTTGGAGTAGAGCAGGTTAAGCTGTTGCCTTTGACGCTGGCATCCCATACGGGTGCTGATTGGAGTCCCAGCTGCTCCACTTCCAATCCTGCTCCCTGCTAATATGCCTGAAAAAGTAGTGGGAGATGGCACAAGTGCTTGTGTCCCTGCACCCACGTGGGAGACCCAGATGAATCTTTTGACTCAGACCACATATCATAGTTCCTGTGATAGAAATTCTCTCTATGTCTCTCTCTCTGTGTCTCTCCTTCTCTCTGTAACTCTGCCTTTCAAATAAATAAATCATTTTAAAAGAACCAAAACAGGAGCAGGTGTTGGGTCTAGCAGTTGATACCTGTGTTCCCCATCAGGGTTTCTGTGTTTGATCCCCGTGCCAACTCATGACTCAATCTTCTTACTGGTGTAGACCCTGGGAGGTACAGTGATGGTTCAAGAAGCAGGGTTCCTGCCCCCTTTGTGGGAGACCAGAATTCAGTTCCCAGCTCCCAGCTCCAGCCTGCATTGCTGTGGCCATTTGAGGAGTGAACTATTAGATGAAATTCCTGTCTCTCCCTGATAAATTTTTAAAATTTAAAGAACAAAACAGGCCAGCGCCGCGGCTCACTAGGCTAATCCTCTGCCTGTGGCGCCGGCATCCCGGGTTCTAGTCCCGGTTGGGGCGCCGGATTCTGTCCAGGTTGCTCCTCTTCCAGTCCAGCTCTCTGCTGTGGCCCAGGAGTGCAGTGGAGAATGGCCCAGGTCCCTGGGCCCTGCACCCGCATGGGAGACCAGGAAGAAGCACCTGGCTCCTGGCTTTGGATCGGCACAGTACGCTGGCCGCAGCGGCCACTTGGGGGGTGAACCAACGGCAAAGGAAGACCTTTCTGTCTCTCTGTCTCTCTCTGTCTCTCTCTCTCTCACACTAACTTTGCCTGTCAAAAAAAAAAAAAAAAGAGCAAAACGATAACTAACGTTAACACACTTTTGTTTCCACTAACTGCGTACAATCTTCCTTTAGCGACACAGGAGGTGGCGTGATGCATGCAGTGCATTTATAGAGCGTGTGGAGGAAAAGTTGGCAAAGACATGCAAAAGCAGGTAGGCCAAAGTTGAGGATTCTCGAATGCTTGCATTAACTCTCTAGAATCACCTTGCTTGCTTTGTCCTATAAAATCTCTATCAGACCACATTAAGTGACGCCTCGAAGAATCCAGTCTTTCAATCAAGTCATTCTTATTTTTCCTAGGTTAGAATGAGAATCTGGGAAACTACCAGAAATGCCATCAAGTTTCTGGGGGCCCCAGGCCCTGCAGGTGCCACCCACGTCCTCTCATTCTTCATCGCTCCATGGCTCCACGGCCTTTCTGGTTTCTGCCTAGTTTCCCACAGCTGAGAGTCTGCATGTCCTTGCCTTGGGGCTTTCTTCTCCAGCAGGTGGAGTCACCACAGAAGAGCTGGGCTTTAATTCTCCCAGCAGCAGCCCTGAAGGAGTAAGCAAGGTCTTCGTCTTCCTTTGCTCCTCAGAGCTCCCCCAGGGGTGGTTCAAGGCCAGTTGTTCCTGTAGTTGCTGGCACTTCCGCTTTCTTCCCTCTCTTACCTCACTTGTGCAGTTACCTGTGCTTTGAGGATCATCTGTGTGTTTTTTTTTTTTTGTATTTGTATGTATCTCATAAATACAATATTAGGAATATAGTAATTCTTCCCACCATACCTGCCCTCCCACCCACTCCCCCCCCCCTTACTACTCCATCTCCTGTTTAGTCTGAGAAAGAAAAAGAAACAGAAAGAATGGAATAAAAAAACTGTTCCTCAAGTCTAGTCAAGGGCTGTTCTCTGTTATTGTTTCTTAAAGGTAATTTAGCTCCCCCCCACCTTCCTCTTTTCTTTTCCTGCCTCCCCCTTCTTTCCTTTTAGAAACTTAACTTGTCTTTAAAGAAGAACCAAAGGATGGTCTCTTGTGAGCTCTTAAACATAACTTTAACTTGTGAGACATAGTAATATCCTCCATTTAATACACTAAATGGAAGTGATTTTTTATTTATTTATTTTTTTGACAGGCAGAGTGGACAGTGAGAGAGAGACAGAGAGAAAGGTCCTCCTTTTGCCGTTGGTTCACCCTCCAGTGGCCGCCGTGGCCGGCGTGCTGCGGCCGGCACACCGTGCTGATCCGATGGCAGGAGCCAGGTGCTTATCCTGGTCTCCCTTGGGGTGCAGGGCCCAAGCACTTGGGCCATCCTCCACTGCACTCCCTGGCCACAGCAAAGAGCTGGCCTGGAAGAGGGGCAACTGGGACAGAATCTGGCGCCCCGACCGGGACTAGAACCTGGTATGCTGGTGCCGCAAAGCGGAGGATTAGCCTAGTGAGCCGTGGTGCCGGCCTGGAAGTGATTTTTGAAAACAAGTTTTACTATTAAGTCTCACAATGAAACTCTTTGTGGACAGAGATCCTGCATGAGAAATTAGTGCACAGTGACTCTTGTTGCTTATTTAACAAATAATAGTCTTATGCATGACATCAGTGATCACCCAAGGCTCTTGACATGAGCTGCCTTGGCTATGAACTTTTTGTATCCATCAGCTCAACAAAGCCATAAGCAAAGTGGAAGTTCTCTCCTCCCTTCAGAGAAAAGTACCTCCTTCTTTGGTGGCTGCTTACTTCCACTAGGGTCTCACCCACAGAGATCCTTTATGTTGGACCTTTTTTGTCCAAAGTGTCTTGGCTTTCCATTCCTGAAATGCTCCTCCTGAGTGTTCCAGCCAGACTAGAATGCCTTTATGGCTGATCCTGAGGTCAGAGTGCTACTTAATGCTATTGCCATTCTGAGTCTGCTGTATGGACTGCTTCCCTGTTGGAGCCTTCACTCCTTTTTAATTCTGTCTATTTTTGTTTCCAAACACTTAGTCCTATTTATATGATCACTTTAACACTTGATCCTACCTACATGGTCACTTTACCACTTATTTCTATACATTTGCTCTTTATAATATTTAAGCTGCTATTTTTATCAGCCAGCTTAAGGGACTTTGGGGTCCTATGGGTAGTTATTACGCTGTTCCCTTAGACATCAGTCCATAGGAATGTAAGTAGGATTAAACTGCTTTGCAGTTGCAAATGTCATACATTTCACAATTACAACTTTAGGATCTTCCCACTGTGCCCACCCTCCCACCTATATTCCAACCCCCTCTTCCTCTTCCCTTTCTTATTCTCACTCTTATTCTTTACTAAGATCTGTTTACATTTAACTTTATACATATATGATTAACTCTATGTTAAGTAGAGTGTGTTAAGGAGGTGTTTATAAAGCTGTGGTACAGAGTGGATGCGGGCAAGGGGTGGGGTGATGTGACGCAAAAGGGTTTTAGCCAATCCTATTATACCACCTCAGTGATTGTTAGGCAAAAGCGCCCTGGGGCTGGATTGTTTGCCGCCAGGGATTTGAAACTTGAAGACAGGTCTGCAAACTCAAGGCAGGCTTAGGAAGTTCCTCTAGGCCTCTCTGGATTCAGCCTCCCCCACAGTATTCCATATATTTTTGTTTATTTTTCCTTTCATTTCCTTTATAATATTTTCCTTGTCTTTTTCGCCTGTGGTTTTATCAGAATCCTCATTCAGGGTCTGCTCCTGGGGAAATCTGAATCAAGGTATCAGGAGGCAGCTGGGATGCTCTGCATGGCTGAAAGCTTAACCCCGAGTCCCAGCCTTGCCATGGGACCTCGGGCATAACACTTAACATGTGAAATGAAATGAACAGGTTCTTCCCTTGGACACAGAGGGGTCTGAGTCACTTTGTACCTTAAAACATCCACATCTCTTTCGAATCAAGTGTTTATGTCATCTCTGAAAAGGGAGTGGAATTACAAATTAATTTAGCAAATAGAGTTTGGGTTTGGGATTGGTCAAATGGTTTAAAATTCTACATAATCCAAACATTCACTATGGGTCTTGGGTGATTTGTTTACATCTTCTGGGTGTATTTTCTCAGGCTTTTGAATTATTTGGGATGATATAAGAACTACAAAATTTTGTGGAAAATGGAATTAAAGGGTAAATTTATTTTGGTACAAAAATGTTTGAAATCCATACTAGTCTCATAATACACATTTTCCATGAGCTTTTTGAAGACCCTCTTATGAACTGCTTCCATTCTTTTTCATACCACTGATTTGATCATTATGGCTTATGATTGTTGATGGCAATATAGTCACATGCCAGTTAATAATGAGGATATGTCCTGAGAAGTGGACCATTACCTGACTTCACGTTGTGTAAACATAATACAGTGTATTTATGCAAACAGATTGGATAGCAGCCTACCGCACACCTAGGCTATATAATATATAACCTAGTGCTCCCAGAGCCACAATGAGCAAAATGATATTCATTGCTTCTTGATCTGTCTTTAATTCCCATGTGTTGGTGACCAGAGGAGAACCAGGGGGATCAAGGACAAAGAAAGTCTGAGGTAAGAGAAATCGCTACAATCAACACTGACACGCACTGCTTGTGCAGGATATTTTTGTGCATTCATTTTCTGTCCTGGACAAAGAACTCATTTTGCACAGTCCTTGGCAGAGGACTAACTTCCAGTCCCTGACTGCCTCCTCACACTGCCTCTTAAAGTATGATCCAAGTCCCATGCAAAGAAGCTTCTTGGTGGGATGACACCTGAAGTGGCTAGAATCTAGCCGTCTGGGTTCACATGGCACCCATATAGCCCTCCAAATGGTGCAAGTATACATGGCCCCACAGTTCTTTATCCTTTTCCCTGACACTGTGAGCCAACTGCCTTTTAATCTCTAAGTAAGAAGTAGGCACTGCTCTCTATGATCATTCGTATTCTGAAACTTCCTGTAGAGAAATATGAAACCACTCTGCCACCAAGAACACCCACACTACCTTGTGCTGAGAGATTGATTGCCTCTGCATTTTCTACAGCTCAGTGAGCATCCATCTAGAGCACAACTGCTGGTTTCCCTCTCTTGTAGGCACCCCCAATCTATAAATGACCATTCCAAGCACCCATGAGTTGACTTTGCAGGGATCATTATTTTTCCTTCTTCACAGGAATTAGAATGAGTATTCTGCAGAGCTTGTACCCAAGGACCATGGTGCCTACTTTAAGAACAAACAAGGAAAGTCAGAGTTGCAACTGTTTACTCAACTTGGATGGAATAGAGGGTAAGAGTAGAAAGTCTCACCCATCAGGCTTTGAAAAGCCCTGTAGGAATATGTCTTCTAGCAGCTTTTCTAAGAAATACAGGAAATCTGTCCTTAGTGTGTTGTCCAATGTGAAGTAATGCTATAACTATTACTGAAACAGTACTTTGTGTTTCTGTGTGGGTGCAAACTGATGAAGTCTTTACTTAATATATACTGAATTGATCTTTGGTATATAAAGATAATTGAAAATGAATCTTGATGTGAATGGAATGGGAGAGGGAGCAGGAGATGGGAGGGGTGTGAGTGGGAAGGAAATTATGAGGGGGGGGAAGCCATGGTAATCCATTAACTGTACTTTGAAAATTTATATTTACTAAATAAAAAATTAAAAAAAATAATTATGATCCCCAGTGGGAAAAAAAAGAAATACAGGAATTCCTATCTCCTAGTGTTTGCTTTAGGGTTTTGCCTTCTTTCTTCTTTCTTTTTTTTTAAGATATGTTTATTTATTTGAAAGTCAGAGTTACAGAGAAAGGAGAGACAGAGAGACAGAGAGAGAACTTCCATTTGCTGATTCACTCTCCAGATGGCCACAATGACCTGGGCTGGGCCAGGCCAAAGCCAGGAGCCAGGAGCTTCATCTAGGTCTCCACATGGATGGCAGGAGTCCAAGCACTTGGGAGTCCAAGCACTCCAGGTAGGGAGCTGGAATGTAAGTGGAACAGCTGAGACTAACCAGTGTACAAAAGGGATGCTGGCACTGCAGGAGGCAGCTTAATCTGCTGTGCCACAGCGTAGCCCCTTGCCTTATTTCAAAACAGCAGGAAAAACTCTATTTTGAATGCTCTTAACACTTGTATTCCTGGGCCAAAGGGAGTTCCTACCTTCCCTTACCCAAGTGAGAAGCCTCATTGTAACCCTTCTCTGCACTCCTCCACTCTTCTTGTGCTCATGGAGAGCTTTTTAGTTGTTCAAGAAGGGATGCACTTAGAAGTCCTTGATTTTTGTGTCCCTTAGCACTTACATATCAACCTCAGCAATGTGCAGGCACCGTCAGAGGCATAACTTCACTCAGTTCTCTTCAGACCATGCCATGTCTAGTTAGGTATTCATCATCATCATCATCATCATCATTCTTAATTTATTAACTAGGAAACTTAAGTCCTTGGTAATGATTTAATGCTAACAGCCTTACTGAAGATGGCACCCCAAATACTTACATTGCACTATGGCACTCAGTTGTGGGTGCATTTTTTCTGCGAAGTAACCAAAAATAAAGTTGACTATTTGGCTAACACAGTGTAGTTCTCACTCCATATCCTAGTTGTCATGTTCATCTACTTGTTTTGTTACCATTTCTTTATGAACTTGGTATTAGATATTTCTATAGTGAAAGAGGATGGAGCAGATGACACCTGCAGTCAAGTTGCTGGTACCAGGAGTGACCTGTCGGGTAAGTCTCACCCTTTATGCAAGCTGACTCAGCGAACTCTGTTCTCAGGTTTCTCCTTTGTCCTTTTAGATGGCTGATGAACCAAAACAACACGAGTGTCCTGAAATTTCCCCCTGAAGGTTTCCTAATGAGAACGTTGATGAAATTGGGTGCTACCTTGGATTCCAGGGAAATCTACACTCTCCCAAAGGATAAGAGAGTTCTAAAACCACAAATGTTTTCAGACTAAAGTTGCATAATTTGAAATTCCCTTGTTAGAACATGGATGAAAACATTGTCATCAGGCTTTTGATTTAGTTTGTAAAAGTTGGATCTCACAGCTATGATTGGAAACACTGACAAAAGTTGTACTTTTTGTTTTTGCCAAAGTTAAAAAGACATTCTAGTCTCAAATTTAGCTAACAGGAGGGAGACAGATCAGAATAATGCTTATTAATTTTGACAATCACACTGTGTGTGTGTGTGTGTGTGAGAGAGAGAGAGAGAGAGGGATGAAGGGATAGAAAGAGAGAGAATAATAGTTGGTTAAAGGCCAAAAAATATTACTTAAACAACTGAAGATCAACGTAGCAACCAGAGTTGAAGTATCTCAAAAACAAATAGGGCACTTTTCAGTGAGATGTTATCTAAGACAAAAAGTAGGAAAGTCTAATTTATGGCACAGTGAAGTTGTTCCTAGAACTAGATTTTGTTAGGAATTTCAAGATACCAGATGGTTTCTAATAGTGTTTATTTCTCAAAAATCAAGAGTTTTTTTATATATTAACTTTGTGTTCATATGAGGATACACCAAAAAGTGTGTTCACAATAGCTAAGACAGAGTCAGCCTAGGTGTCCATCAATGAATGAACGAATAGATTTTTGAATGTGGTGTGGTATATATATGCAATGGAATAATAGTCAGTCATAATAGTGAAATCTGACATCTGCAGCAAAATAGATATAGCTTGAAATCATGATGTTAAGTTAAATTTGCTAGACACATGAAAAAATACTGCATGTTCTTTCTCATGTGGAAATAAAGTCAATTTGAACTTAGAATAGTGATTATTGGAGGCTGGGAAGGATGGGGATGAGGAGACAGAGGGAGGGGAGATGACATGTACTAAAATACAGATAGAAATAAGAAGTTTTATTGTTCCCTAGCACACAGGGATGACTATAGTTCACATAATATGCACTATCCAAACACAACAAAAAAATAAGGAAATGGAAAGAATAGTTGCCTGGTTTGCTCAGTTTACATTGTGTAAATGTGTTCAAATATTGCCCAGTATCATAAGAAGTGTAAAAATATTGCAAGTTTACCAAACATTTTAAAAAATAAAATAATTTTAACAAGTTCATGGAAATATGGGACTGAAAGATACATTTATTTTGGTGCAAAAAATTTGAAATCCATGTACAATTTTTCCATGTTATGAATTTCCCATTAGTTTTTTGTTTGTTTGTTTGTTTGACAGGCAGAGTTAGACAGTGAGAGAGAGAGAGACAGAGAGAAAGGTCTTCCTTCTGTTGGTTCACCCCCAGCCCCCAGCATTGTGGCCTGCGCACTGCACTAATCCGAAGCCAGGAGCCAGGTGCTTCCTCCTAGTCTCCTGTGTGGGTGCAGGGTCCAAGCACTTGGGCCATCCTCCACTGCACTCCCTGGCCACAGCAGAAAGCTGGACTGGAAGAGGAGCAACCGGGACAGAATCCAGCACCCCGACCGGGACTAGAAACTGGGGTGCCAGCGCTGCAGGTGGAGGATTAGCCTATTGAGCCGCGGCGCCGGCCTTCCCATTAGTTTTTTTAAAGACCCTTCATATACATGAACTTATTTAAAATTTTGCACCTAAGTAAACATCTTTTATTCTATGCTGCATAAGCTTTTTGAAGTACCCTCTTATACACTTTGGCATAGGCTGAAACAATCAAAGTTTACTTGTATAATATGACATGGAAATAAAAATCTGAATCTATTATTCCAATTTTTTCTAATAGTTGTGCATTTTTAGAAGCTTGTTTGACATTAAGCATATTAAATGAGAGAAAATCTTCAACTAACAGAGACAACAGATGTCCTTTTTGAAGATCTTCAGGCTTTGGGAATTTATAGTTCCAAACTGGGAGTTGGGGAATTCTTTCTCTTCAACTTACTGCAATCATTTTCCAAAATTCTGTTGAAAACCTTAAGAGAAAGAAAATCAGTGACTTAAAATTTCTTCTTTGTTTCTGATCAAGATTTGGTTGCTGACATTTTAAATAAAAAACAATGGGAGATAGAAGAGCTTAATACCACTGCCAGCTCTATTCAGTGAATTATCCTCTTTTCCAATTTTACCATGAAAATTAATTGAAATAAAGTCAAATAGGTTTTTAATATCTCTGTTTACATAAGCAACATTCAGTGGAAAGATGAGGCAATGAATTATATCACTTTTCAAAGGATGTTCTGCATAATTCAATTTCCTTGGAATTTTAATAAGTGATCCATTGAGAGACATTTATTCTTTAGAAAAATAAACATAATAAATATTGCATTGGGGCCAGTGCTATGGCACAGCGGGTTAACGCCTTGGCCTGAAGCACCGGCATCCCATTTGGGCACCAGTTTGAGACCTGGCTGCTCCACTTCCAATCCAGCTCTCTGCTGTGGCCTGGGAAAGCAGTAGAAGATGGCCCAAGCCCTTGAGCCCCTGCACCTATGTGGGAGACCCAGAGAAGCTCCTGGCTCCTGGCTTCAGATGGGCATCGTGGCCAATTGAGAAGTGAACCATCAGATGGAAGACCTCTCTCTCTCTCTCTCTTTCTCTCTTTCTCTGCCTCTCCTCTCTCTGTGTAACTCTTTCAAATAAATAAATAAATCATAAATAAATAAATATTGGATTAAGTAGATTATGACAAGTATTTCACACTAACGTGATGTCAATAATAGGAGAATCTGGTTGTGGGGTATATCGGAACTCTGTATAACTTCATTATTTTTGTTTTGTAAATTTAAAACTATTCAGAAATAAAAAGCTAAAAAACACATTAGAGAGATGAATTTACTCGGAATATGTGTTTAGAAAGGTTGGGATGATTGAGGATTTGATTCTTTTTATCTTCATGCCTAAGACTTCCAAATACAGATGTACTTAACACTGGCACTTCCTGAACTCCAGACTCTTAGATTCTTACCTACAGTGATCTTGGCATCTCCCCATGATATCCAACAATCATCTCAAATTTACCACATCCAGAAACTTAACCCTACTATTCTCAATCCTTATCTTAGTGAATAGGAACTCCATTTTCTGCGCTAAGGCAAATAATATAACTGCAATAAAAAATGAAAATAAGGTATAATTATCCTTGTCTCCAGTCTGGATCTCACAACCTGTAGCACGAATCCAGCTACTTTTCACCACCTCTAGGAAATACACTAGTCCCGATCCCTGCTGTTCTGCCTGAATTACTATAACCAGTTCCCATTTTGAGTTCCATTGAAAGCCCACACCCATTTCAGGCAATTCTTAACAGCAAAATTGTTTGACCCCTTCGAAATGCAGCTCCTATCTTGTACTTTCTCTGCTCAAGTCCCTCCG